TGACTACTGCTGAATATGAAACATAAGTTAAAAGGATGAATGCAAATATGGTAATTTTTTACAGTGTTTTGTACACAGAGAGGTTGAAGGAAGAGCAAGAAACTGGACATCCTCCCAAATGTTTTGAACTTTGTTTAAGGCTCAAGGAATTGTAGCTTTCCTGGGCTCACATTACAGTGTACTCTTTCAAGTTCCTTCAAATATTTGAGATAAATCTCCACTAGCAAAAGTTGCCTTGAATTGTATTATCCACTCTTCTCTTTAGAGCTACGTGATTTTTCCAGAAAGGATATAAAGACTACAGAAAAATGTCCTTAGATTATTCCTACCAATCTAATGTTTTTCCCCTTCTAGACACCTTCATCTGTCTTTCACTTTTCATTTTTCTTGTAGTTCTCTAGCAAGCCAAATGAAACTAAGTCTGACTCACCAAGAACTTGTGAATCATAGAGATGAAACATATGTTGAAAAGTAATTTCTGGTTTCTCCATTTGGCATGTAAGGAATTAGCCACTGTACCCTAGCAATAAGAAAGAAAAAAATATACAGGGCAAACCTAGAACTCAATGACTCTTTTTTGATGTTTCAGAGAAACGTCACAGGGAAAGACATCACCCTCCAAAAAAAGATGGGCAAATGTGTATCGTTACGACTCAACAGAGCAGGAAACTCTTTAGAAAGCACTTCTGGGATAGGGAAGTCTGAATTGTAATTGATAAATTCCTCGGGGCTTAACGTAGACAATTCTGAGAGTCAGGAACTTCAGGAAGCCGTGTGCTAAGAGCCCCCACGCTTTTGTGAGTTTTGCCTCTAAAAACTGTACAGGGTTTCACAGTGTATAATTAAAGGCAAAAATCTCCTCAGGCTTGTGGCAGAAACAGAGAGAAAAAGAACCATTTTGAAATATGCCAGAGGATTCTATTTTCATTAAGCCCTACCCTCAAGAGAAGCAGTTTTCACTGGTGTGTTATCAAAGAGCTGACTTGAGGGAAGGGACATTCTTAACTCTAATTCCTTCTAACCATCCTGTCCTACTTATGGGAGACAGGTTAGTGTATCTCAGAGGGACTTATGTAGTTCAGAGTCCAAGGGCATAGGGCTTATTGACATACCAAATCCTAATATAGAGCTATAGGCTACTTTCTCTCTATCCATACCTTGCTATCATTTCACTAAAGGCTTATGTGACAATTAAACTGGATTGTGAACTTGAAAGTACCCAACACAGTATAAAACACACTACTTGGGGTATCTGGATGGGTCATGGAGGTGGGACTGGTGGTCTACATCTGGTTCCTTGATGCTTTTTTCTCTGGCAATGTTTTCCTACTCTCTTCCCTGATCACTGTGAATTGAGCAATGTTGTTCCACCATTCTCTCCTATCATTATGATCCTCTCTTGGAACCAGAGTAGCATAGACTGAAATCTTTGAAACCATGAGTCCAATAAGCCATTTCTTCCTTTAGTTTATGAATGTCAAGTATTTGGTCCCACAATGAGAAATCTGACTAATAAAGAAAATTGATGCCAGAGAAGTGGGGCCATTTCTATGACCAGACCTGAATATGTGGCTTGGAAGCCTTTGGAACTGGATTTCAAAGGAAATTTTGAAAGTTTTGAGGATGTAGGCTAGCACAAAGTCCTGTAATATTGTGAACAGAGCTTGATGGCTGATTCTGGTTGAAATTCACAAGACCAGAAAGCTAGGAACGTGGACAGCAGAAGTCAGGTTCAGAAGAATTCAACTGGAAAGGAAGAAGGAGATCTGGGCAATGAACTGCAGTCTATTTGTATTACATTCTAGCAAAGAATTTGTCTCTATTTTGCCCCTGTCTTAAGACTATATGAGGCTGGGTATAAGTGCAACAGACTAATTAACTTTGTAGAACAAATTTCAAGTCATCCCTGTTTTTTGGTGATACTGTGGGTATTGCTGATTGCTTTTAGCCAGATTTATAGGAGAATATAGAGTGAAAGGCAGGGCAGAAATATGTAAAAAACTTAAATTTTGCCCCTAAAGACATCATGTGAAATTTTGGAGTTAAAGAAACAGTGACTAATGAAAAGATTAGCACCATTAAAAAGAAATTTAATTACTTTCAATAAGGACAGGGAGAATGATGTCTTAAGTGTATTTCAAGAATCATCAGTAAGAACCCACCAAAGACAAGTGGAGGGGTATAAAATTTTCATTGGGAGAAGACAATCTTTGGATTCCCTGCTTGAAAAGGGCTACCCAGGGAATTGGTTTCCTGGGATTCATTTCCTCAAGTCATCCAGGTATTCTGAGGCTGCTGCCATCATCGTCCAAGGGTTACCCAGCTACTGCTCCAGCTGGCACCAGGTCTTGTCATTATCTACATCATGTGGGTTGTTAAGGAATGCAGAATATTAGAGTTGTGGGATCATGGAGGCTTCTTACCAGATTTCAAAAGAAAATCATGATTGTTCATGCCTGTGTAGATTTACAGCCTGTACAGTATGATTTAATATCTATTTTTCAGCCTTTGAGCATGAGCAGATTTTGTGACTAGTTTTGACTAATGGACATGGTAGAGCATGATGTGCCAGTCTTACAGTTTTCAGAAGATTTTGCACCTTTCTAGTGCTAATCATCAGGCTCTTGTCTGTGCCATGTAAAAAAGACCTGAGTAAACTCAGTTATTACAGCTGAGCTCTAAAACTGAGAGAGCTCAACCAAGATCATCCAAATGCCTCCTCAACCCACAGATGACCTCAGATGAATGAGAGATCCCAAGAAGAACAAAGAACTACCCCACAAAACTGAGCCAAGTTGTTGATCTGGATAATAGGGGTTAAATACATGAGGGTGTCTGGAAGCTACCATTGTCAGTGTGGTTTGTTGTACAGCTTTACTGTTGTAATAGATACCTGACAACAGTTTTGTCTTTTGCTCCATATGTCCTTGGGCAATGCATGTGTTTTGAAACATATTTTTTCTTTATTAACTGGTATGAAAAGCTGTCTCATAGGGTTGTTTTAATATTGTATAACAAGATATATGTCATTGTGCAGAGGAGGAAACAGTATCAGTCAGTTGCTACTATTATGTTCCTTATCATGGTGAATTATCCATTATCAATAAGGCTTCAAGAGAAGACTAGTGTTTTTCTAATGTGTTGGCTCTGAATTTTCTTTTTTGGTACCAATATATCATAATAAATAAAACCCAGACTTCTGCCTTACTGGAACATGCTACAGGTAACAATTGGAAAATTCTGAAATCGAATTTTCAGAGTTCAAATGCATCCTCTCCTGTTTTCTGGCTATGAGGACTTGGACTACTTAATATTTCTGTGCTTTATTTTCTTTACTTATAAAATAGTTGCGTGGTAATATGTACTCCCTTCAGCTGTGGAGACTAAGTGATATATATCTAACTTGCTTGGAGAAATAGTCCACAGGAAGTATTCAGAAGCACTTGGCAAATGTTATATATTATTTTATTATTATTCAAATTTAGCACTCATCCAGGGATGAGTTGAATCCCAGGGTTACACCCTGTGTAATTCCACAAGTGCTATAACAGAACTTTTCAACTACTACTCAGTAGCCTGTAGCTCAGTGGCCATTCACTACAGTTTTGCCATCTGGCAAACAGCTGGCAGATCCTCTGAGTCTTTCTGTACTGTCATAGTGAACCACTGACCCAGAAATGACATACTGCAAAGATTGTGAAGGGGACCAGGAAATGGGAAGTGGAAATGATCCATTGTACTGACCAATTAATGTGGATATGGATTTGGATATTGCCTGCAGAGAACTGAAAACAAACAACAAACAAAACCAAACCCCACTGCTGATGGTGCTAAAGTGGGGCAGAGTCCATCTAAATTGAAGGGTTTTGAACATTTGAGATGAACAACAACACTGTCTGAAAAATCCACTGATGCAATTTTAAAAGACACTCTACTCTTGATTCTAAAAAAAGTAAGGAAAGGATTTTGTATGGTATCAATATTAACAGGTTTTCCAGGCTGATAGAACTCACTGAGTTTCTTTTTCTTTAATTGCATAACCTTGGAGGAGTTTCTTTAAATCTGTATTTCATTTTGCTTACTAACAAAATTATAATTCTTCTCTAAAAAAGTAATAAAGAGATTAACTCACCTATGTAAAATGCTTGCCTAGCACCCGATAGATAGTTAATAAATGCATGTATTTCTGTTATTATTGTTCTTAATTTAGCACCATCTGCCAAAATTTTGGGGCTTGCATAATCTCTCCTTAACTCTCATCCTTCTCTGTGTTTCAGCTTTTCAATTGTCTTGTGTGCTTCATCGAACTTTTGACATCTGCCCTTTTAAAATCCAGATAAGGACTGACATTGTAGAACTCATTGATTGCATTCTGGGTTGACATTAACATGGGGAATCTGCCTCATTTCTACTTGCTTGTTCAAGGCTTTAATTTCATTATGTCTTATCTTTGTTAGTAGATAGGAAATCACAGAGAGCCAGTGAGACTAAAGGAATCATTCATGGGTGGGAGGCAATATCAGAAAGTCAGAGAGAAGGGCCACAAGGTCAGGGAGGCAGGGGACTTGGTTTACCAAGACAAGGAGGAAGGGAGTGAGGTACTAAGTGGCAGTGCAGTGTGAGTTTTTAATCTGAAATAAGTGAACCACATTTGCTTTCAGTGTTTTCTACTGTGAACTAGGTTAGGTCACTTGGAGACTTTTAACATAGGGATAGAATTTAAAGTTGCTTCATATTTAAAGTTTTTCAGGATCATTTTCTCAACTCTTCTTTCCAAGGTGACTAGGATAGCTTTAAAAAAACAGAAAGATACATTGGGATAAGGAGAGTTTCCCTCCCTTGGGTGTCGATTACACAAATATTTTTTCTATGTATCTAATTTAATTTTGATTCCTTTTCACTTTCCTTCTATCATCACTTATGAAACTGGATTTTTAGTTTGGATGCCTTATACCATGTTTATAGATTCATTCCCATTAACTTCAAATTTTTTCACTTAGTTTTAGGTCTCTAGTCGTCTCTTGAGAAGACTGCAGTTTTTTAAAAAAAATATTAAAAAGCAAGAAAGTGGGCTTCTTACTCAGAAGAAGAAAATCCACAGATGATATTCATTGAACTAAGTGTCACCTTTCCATAAACAGGTAAGATTCCTGCTACAGGGCTCACCCAGTGTCATTCTTAGAGTAATAAAAGTATGCTGAAGACCAAATATTATCACATTATGATTTTTGATGGCTAAAAAGTAAAATTAAGTGCATAAACATAAAAATATATGGACTAGATATGATATAATTTTCTTCCTACCTTAACTGAAATATTTTTCTATGTCTACTAGTAGTTCTTCAACTTCATGGCTTACAGAAATATAAATAAGTATAAATATGAATTCCTTTCTTATTTCTCTTGCATCCTTACTGGAACTTTGGAAATTATGAAATTTTGTTCCTTATAGTGTTCATAGACAAATGCAGTAATAGCTTATGATGTTCAATCTCCTATATCAAAACATAGCGTTTCTTTGCTCCTGGCTAAGAAGTGTTCCTGATAGCATATGCAGTTCTCAAGATATGTTGTAATGATGAAATCATGTCAAATGACAGCCAGGCATGATGGTGCATGCCTGTAATCCTAGCACTCAAGAAGTTGAGGCAGAAAAATAGTTGTGAGTTTGAGCCCAGCTTGGGCTATATAGCAAGTTCAACGCCAATCTGAACTACACAGTGATCCTGTCTCAAAATAAAAAAAAAAAAATAGAAAGAAATCATAAAAGTGGCATAGCTAGTGGAGCTCCTACAGGATAAATGAAAGTGGATACTAACCCACTGTCATTTACCCATGTTCATTGACTTCTCTATGCCACATAGAACAGGCTTAAAATGAGCCACTTGCGTGCTTTTGCCTTTAAGTGACAACACTCCTGTATTTATTTACAAAATAGAGATATCAGTAGTGCTCTTTCAGAAAGTAGTTTTGAAGTGTAAATGTGATCATTCATATCAAACTATGAGTTTATAGGTAGTATACATCTAATAAATATGATGGTTGCTTTTATCATTGCTGAGACAAAATATACAACACTCACAAGTTAAAGAAGGAAAGGCTTATTTTGACTCATAATGTGTAGAAATTTAAGTTCATAGTTATATGGCTCCAAGAGGGATTATGGCAGAGGGATGTTAGAATAGTCCATTGCATGGCAGGCAGAAGCACCAAGGAGCTTTCCCCTTGCATCCCAAGCTACAGGCCTTTTAGGTGGTGCCACCCACATCCAGGGTGGACCTTCCTGTTATCCACACCCAGTCAGGGAACTAATTTAGTTATCACATTCACACACGCTAGATCCAGCTGCCACTTCTGAAAACTCTCACCTATGGGAGCATGAGGCCTTGAGGGAACATCTAGTACAAACCATAACATAATAGCTATTATCCCTATTGTTAATTTACTTTATAGTTGATTTATATATAATTGCAAATAGACCGGCTTTTATTTAGGGACAGGAATTATGATGCCTCAGAGAAGACTGGGGCTATAAAATTTGGCTCTAGATTGAATTGGTACTAGAAATAATAAGAAAACAAAAAATTAGAAATGCTAAATGGTTTAGGTATTTATGGATGAAATGAATTTAGGTATTTCTGGATGAAGTGAATGAACTTTTCCATTGCAAAAGATAAAAATGGAGTTTTATCTCTTTGGAAGTACAATCTTAGTTTTCTGAACCGATTTAGTAGTAATAACTGAGTTGGTAATGTTCTCAACCTATTATCTTTAGTCTGGAGTATACCTTTCTTTCGGGATGACTTTAGATATTTAGTCTGAAGAGGAAACTATGACATACAATCACATTCGTAATTGCTTTTAGGCTCATAGAATTCACAAAGATATTGATAGGCACATGATTATGAGGCTCGATAGCTGACAGATACAGTGTAATTAAACTTTAAAAATAAAACAAAAGAAAAGACACAGTGTCATTAATTCTCAAAATAGTCTCCTTCACTTCAAGTACTATTATTTCATTGATCTTGACATTTTGTGAAGTGGGTCTGCAGTTTTTCTTTGTGAATATTTTTAGTTGTGCTGTTGTGGCTATTTTGTCCTAAATTAATTCAAAGGATTTACCTTTTATGGTACTTTTGACTTTGGGGAAGAGCCAGAAGTCATGTGATGCCAGATCCAGTGAGTAAGTTGAAGGAAGACACAGTGATGCTCTTACGAGCCTGCCTTTCCTTTGGGCAACACTCAATAGCAGCATTCACTGTATTTTTGTCACTACTGGCAAAGACACTCAGGAAGAGGACTTCCTGAAAATGGTAAGAATGATGGATAAATATGTTCAAGTTCAGATGAGTTTTGTGAGGGGGACAATTTTTTAAAAAAACATCAACCATATATTTTGATTATCCTGTACATATACCTATTTTATGCTGGTATGCAGATTAAGTTTCATGGAAATAATATTGTCCCTGTCCTCAAGGAATTTACAGTTTTGTGGATAGTTAGAGGTACAAATAAAATTTATCATAAGTAGAGAGAGGCATGTTTTAATCATCTTGCACAAAATATAAACAAGAAGAATGAAAAGCATCTTTATCTTAGATGCAATTAAGAGTTATGCCTCAGAGACCTAAAAAGTTTTGGCCCACAAATGGTTTTCAGAAATTATTTAATCCAAGTACAATAGATGCCATTTAAAATAATAAGCACTGCATTGCTACAAAGGATAAAGCTCCGTAATTTGTAGGAAAACGGATGCACCTTGAAACTGTAACGTTAAGTGACATAAATCAGACCCACAAACTTAAATATCACATGGTTCCTCTTCTATGAGAAACCCCAAATCTAAATAAAGAGCAAAATGCGGACAAATAACAGGAAAGAGAGAGATAGATCTTTGCAAATAGGAAAGGACCGAGAAATTGAGGGAAAAGGAAGAAGAGGACAGGATAAAAAAAGAATTAACATGTGTTAAGTATGTGTACCAACTTCCCACAAGGAAAAGAATCATTATGTTGTGTAAGCATGTATCAATGAAAATGAAAATTTCATTAAAAAAACATGACAAAATCCTATTACATTGAGCAAGAAAACTCAGAATAGAGTTACTCTGTTTCTGTGCTCTGTGGAGTTTCAGCAATATAAAGAGCTTCCTTTTTCAAGAGAAGACGGAGGACTCTACTGCTACTGGGTCATGCTGAGCTGTCTGGAGTTGGAGTGGTTAGAATTTCTAGAATGACATCTTGGGAGAGAGATTCAGAAGGCAAACAGACTACTTTTTTAATGAGCTGTGTAGTGAGCAGTGAATAAAATAATCTGGCTTTTTTTTCTTTTTTGAATTGTGGTTGGTTTATTACTCTTTTACTAATTGAGCTATGGTTTTGGTCCATCTTTTGGTTTATCCTCTAGACTTCGATCCATGCTTTCTACATTGGCTCTTGATTGTTTCTTATGAAATCATCATCATCGTAATGAACTAGGAAGGGTTGTCTTTTCTTCTCCATCATCATTTTTAACCCTTGCATATACACCATCCAGGGTAAGTATTATCACCAGTGTATAGAAAGAAAAAATTAGGTGACTTGTTCCAACTCTCAGAAAATAATGGGAATAGCAGGTCTTTGAACCTAGTTATATCTGATTTTACTATTTATGCTTTTGTATCTCCTTCCAATATTACTTCTATGTAAGTCACTCTTGTTGACACTTCTGTCTGGCCCAGACTGCTGTGTCTGACACCAAACTATAAATACATGTTGATGCCTCAGTGTATGTTCTAGTCTGTTTGTGCCAGCTCAGACCATTCCAAAATGAGCTATATGTTCCAAGACTTCAAAGGAAATTGGGTATACAGGGTTAATATGTATGCAATGTTGGTTTCAATACGAATGCAATTTGGATGAAATCAGAATTATTCTCTTTCTTTTTGTCAACTCATGATAACACAACTGTGTCAGTTTGTTGTTTGGATCAAACAACTCACTGCACCAGCCCCCTGGGGCAGGGAATCACTTGTTCCTGAGGGTCCTTCTCATCAAGCACTGGACAAAACCTTTACTGCTTCATTTACCACGTGTGAATAGTATCCCCGTAAAGGCCATTTTCCTTTCTCACCTCTGCTCATGCAGCCGCAATATATGTTGTTATCATTGATCCCAGCAAACATGTAGGGAACAGGCCATGGGATTAGCACAGCTTGCTGGAGGCGATAATACAGGAACACTGATCTCCAGTCAGCTCAGTTTATGTCCAGCCTAAACATGTAAACTATCACCTTTTGTCAGATACGGTGATTTCATTCTGAGGAGTAGCACTGAGTGGTGTGTGCCAGGCATCAAGTTAATGAATAAGTAAATCCAATAAGCAATTGAATTCCTGCATTAATGATAAGCATACCTTATAAAGAAAAAGAAGGAGTATTCAGCAGGGACAAAGCAAGTAATCCTGGGAAGGTAGCAGCACACTGGCATGATTTATATTAGCACAGAACAGCTCAGTGGAAATGTGGAGGATGGGGTCCCAGGCTTGTCTGCTCCATAGAGGAAGCAAGTACTGAGGAGAACAGATATTTTCTGAGTAACAATTATGTCTCACCTTTCAGTGGAATGTCTCACCTCAGAGTCCTTTCAGGGACATAATGCAGTGCAGTGGTTTTGCCTGGAGCCATGGAGAACTGGGTTTGTCTAGTTCTGTCATTTTTTGCCTATATAGGGTTAGGCAGATTAGTCCTTCATCATTAAAAAATAGGGAGCTAAATCAAGTGTGGTAGCTTATACCTATAATCCCATTACTGTGGGAGGCTGAGGCAAGGGGAAGGTCTCACAATTTAACAACTTAGTGAGACCTCATCCCCAAATAAAAACATAAGAAGACAAAACAAAACACCCTTCACTGCTATGTAAAGTAGCTCAGCATAAAGACCCTGGATTTAATCTTTAATATGTAAAAAGAAGGTTTAGATTCTAATCTCATCCTGGCTGTTTTCAGGACTAAAGTGCATTGTTGCTGTTTGTTCTTGGCCAATACCTTCTAGTGGGAAATCAAGGATGGGATTATAGTTTAGGGCCATATAGAATTGATTCAACTTCTTAGGCTCTGGAATTACAGTTCTTTTAGGGTTTCCTGCATTCTTTCCAATGAACATGGAGGCTATAATAAAAGAACATTTAAATTTAACCCTTTTCTTAGGTTTTTGTAAATATTGTTTTTGCCCAGAGGGATTCACATTGTGGTATGTGTATGTTCCTTCAACTGTGAGGATGAATTGATGGCAATATATAGGCTGTCCCTCTTGCAAACTGCTATAAACCACTCCACGGTTTCATTCTCTTCTTTGGTCATGCTCAGCAAGTCACATTTGGGTGTCTGATTTGTTCCTGAAACATACTTCCAAATACTCCCCAAATCATTCATCACAGGCAGCCAGTGCCCCCCTCCCCAGTGCCAAGTCTGTTGGGGCAACTGACTTTTCTCATGAGCCTTTGTACCTTCTGGTAACTGGGTTGTTCTTAATCCTGGTGAGAACTTCATTTTTTCCCTACTAAATTCCTTAGTCTTGGTGATCTTAGAACATTGTAGACACAAGAAAATTTATGTAAAATTTTGTGTATATATACTTGTGTCTGTGCATCTTTTTATTAGAAATGACATTGTATAACAGATTCTGAAGTTGTTTGCTCTCCACAGCATTAAGAGTAGTGCAGAGTATTTGGTTTCTGGTATTCCATAGCCATCATGTAGGAATAGGTCTTGGAGGGGCCAGGGCTCTTGATTCCTCATGTGATTTTAAGGATGCATACTTACATGAAGCCTACATTTTCCCACCTTTCTTTTCTGCCCTTATCTGTCTCTCTCTCTGACTTCTCAGAGCAAAATTTCATCTCTAGACTGAAGCTCCCGTCTATGGATGCTGTGGTACCTCAGCATCCTCTACCAACGTTTGTCCTTATGCCTCAAACACAATCTGGAAAACATCTGCTTTGCAACCCTCCAGTGAAAAGCTCACACTTCTTTCTCCCACTGTGCCCCCAACTTCTAGTTCAGGGCCTAACATATAGTAGGTGATCATCAATCCTCATGGAGTTCTATCATGATTTACTCTCTATGTAGAATTTTTGGATCAGTGAAGCCTTGTTTGCTGTTTCTCATATTTTAGGCTTTGTACATGGAAAAGATACACGTTTTACCTTCCTTTGTACCCTAGTGCATGATAATCTCCTGTTTAAACTTCAGGGCTATTTTGGGGGGATGAAATGAAGTGATTTTTATAGAGTCCTTGGTCCAGAGTCTAGCTCAGTGAGGGAATAATTAATAAATTTCAGTTCTTCAAAAGATTTACGGGTATTTAGTGGGAGACTCTTCTTGTCTTCACTGTGCTCTGTGGTAGAGAAAACTTTCCCACTGTACTCAGCAGCAAGAGGGCAGGTAATGGCTCTGGCTGAGGCTAACGAGTGCACACGTATGCACCCTGCAATGAGGCGTGTCATTGTCAGATGATGGGACCCTCAGGCTGTCTGCTGTCCGTCGTGAGCAATGGGGAGGAGGCAACAGCTGTTTCTGATGCTTCCGGTAATTATGATGGAAGATGATTCAGTTCCATGTAGGATCTGAGACCCGAAGGGAACAATCTGGGCTAAGTCAGCATGTGCCTAATGAAATCATTTAGCTTGGGCTGCGGCCTCACCTACCACAAGCTGTGATCTACTGTGCTCTAACAAAGCAGCCCTGGGAGATAATGCTGCTTAGTAAAAGGGAATGCTCAGTAAAATTTGCTTCTTGCATTCAGCTTTCCAAATCTGTACTGTGACCCAAGTGACATGTGGGCTACACTTGAGAAGTAACTTGCTGTCTCTCTATGGCCAGAAGAGGAATTTCCAATCTTTAAATGGAGATGCCTCATTTCTCCAAGGTGCCTTCCCCAAATCAGTGGGCACATTCTGCCATGGCTGCTGACGCTACTCATTTAATGATTTCCTATTGCTTTACAGTGCTTCTGGCAGCCACCCACAGCAAATGAATCAGAGAAGTTCTCATGTGGGTTTCACCTAGAAGCTCAATTTAATACTCCACAGTGTCACCGTCAGTGATGAGACTTGCACACAGTATCTAAACACCTGATCCTGAGTCTCAGAGCATGTTTATACATTTCCTGTTACATGACATTCTGTCCCTCCCTCCAAGAAGGGAACAGGTGGTGAGAAATGACACCTTAACACAAAGTAATGGCACAGATGATTATTGTATTGTAGTCTCTTTTAGGTTGTAGAGGAGTGTTAGGAATTTGTAGGAATGTGCTACAGACACACTGTGGATTTTGTGAGGAGTACAGATGCAGGAATGTGAGAAAAGCAGAGTTCCCATGTGTCTCCCCCAGTGATCCGGGCCACCCCCTCCACAACAGGCCTCTTGTTAGAGTGCGTTTCATTTTGGTAAACTGCCTGTGACCATCGGCTCTGGCACTGTGACCTATGGTATGTAGCATTCTCACCCAGATGTCTTATTAATGTGGAATGTCCACTTTGATCATTGATGAAGGCAAGTATTAGAACCAGTATTAACTGCTTGAGTCTGAAATTGATTATGTATTTGCTACATGACTGATTTATTTAAATAAAATTGATGGCTGAAAAGAATAAACAATTGAAAAAAGCAACCAAACAAAACGGACTAATTTTTATTTCAGAGTAAACTGTCTGCTTGTTGGAGTGAATTTGAGGAAATCATTGGTGGTTCTGGCATTGTGTTGGCAGCACAGCATAATCTTATGTGTCAAGCTAATGAACGTCGGAATGAATTGATCAAACAGCTGTTTACAATGAAGTAAATGGCAAACTGTCAGGTAAATGACAATTTTTACACAATCCTGGTGTTTTCCCCCACCTTATCCTCAACAAGGCCTGGGCAATGGTATTATACGAGATCATCATTGTCTGCAATTGGATGAGATTGTAATGCAAGCATCCTTGGTGAAGTTACACAGTAATTTTTTTCACCCAAGATCAGCTGAATGTCCTGAGTCTCATAGTATGTTTTTACATTTCCTGCTATGTGACATCCTGTCTCTTCCCTCTGAGAAGGGAACAGGTTGAGAAACCAGGGTACAAAATGGTCCTGTTCAGGCTTCCTTTCACATCTGTGGGACCCCAGTTGAGAGCACAAATGCAGATCTAAAGGAAATAAGTCATTAACACTGATAAATCATGCTCAGAACATGTTTATATAAAATGTCTATTTCTCTTTTTTGACCAACATAAGTTCCTATTATTCTGGGAGGCCAGATTTCAGGTTAATTTTCTGGGATTTATCATGACTCTAATTCTATGTTGAAATTTGGTAACATAGAGAGAAATATTCATTGGTCTTAAACCTCTGGCTCAAGACCTGCTATTGTTTTTCTAGTTTGTTTCCACTTAAAGATAGCTAGCTTATCCCATACTTCATGTAACCTCTTACACCAAACCCACCCAGCCTTGGTGCACATCCCTTGTTGTGGGGAAGCTTATATCCATGGCCCAGGGCAAGTTGGTCAGGAAACACTGAAGTCCTGGATATTCAACACATAAGTCTGCTAGGACCATCAGCTTCTGGTCTCTCAGAACTCCTTGGCATGTAAACTGGGCCTTATTGGAAAACAGTCTTCCTTTTGTCTAAATGACATTTGATTTGCTTTAGTAATAAGGTTATCTCATTTATTCTTCTGTTCCAGCTTATCTTCCTAGGATTAGTTTATATTGAGTATTTTTCTCGCTGTTTTTTTTGGCTGGTTAGCTCTTAGATAGCTGAAACTCTATGTGGCATCCCTCAGTTTTTGTTTTTGGTTTGCACATTGACCATAGAATATGGCTCTGTCCATATCCATATGAAATGGTGCAGGGCAGTGGCTTAAAGGGAGAGGCTTGAATTCTTGCTCTTTCATGTACAGATCGTGTAGTTAACTTTTCAGAATCTGTATAATGGAACTGCTAACCCTCTAGAATGAAAAAATTGAGGATTGAATGAGAAAAGATATAATATGGCATGTTGACTTTCTATCCCTATGACAAAATACCTGGGATTTCAATAAGAAAAATTTATAAGGAGAACAGTTTCATTGAGGCTCATCCTTTCAAAAGGGTCAGTCCATGGCTGGATCTGTGTTGAGGCAGAATATGGTGGCAGGAGCACATCGCAAAGAAAACTGCTCAACTCATAGTGACTAGGAAGCAAAAAAGGGTGAGAATGAGGGCACCAATGAGAGACAGGCAGCCAAAGTTCTAATATTCCTTTCAGGGACACCCTCAGTGGCTTGATTCCCACTGGGCTCTACTTATTTTATTATCTTCATAGCACCCCAGACTAGTGATCTAAGCCTATAGCTTACAGCTTTTTAAGGGACATTTAAGTTCTGAATTATAACACACAGTGTCAGCTCAGCAATATTAATAATGCTTCACAGTGTCATTAGCTGTTCACATTGTTATTTTGCCATTATTGTTGGTGGATGATGAGGAATGAGAACTCTTGTAAAACTGTAAACTTACAACCTTGCTTTGTAGGGGACATTCCCTTTGTTACCACCGACCCATCATCGAAGCCAAAGGTGTTTGATTTTTTACCTATAAATTGGAAGTAATGATGGATCTTACTTCGCAAAATTGTCATGAGAATTCAGTGAAATAAAAGTACAAAGCACACTTACACTAGTGCTCACCACTTGTAGTCTGTGTTAATGACAGTGTCAGGTGCTTGACCTTTGCAGGTGACCTGAGGTGAGAGGAACCAGTGCTGTTCTGTGGCTCAGTTGGAACACTTCAAAGAATCTTTCCTCTTCAGTGCTTTTTAAAAAATTGAATCTTCCTATGTCAGAAACTTTTTCCAAAGCCTTGGGAGAAGCCAAGCCAAATTTAAGGAGAAGACACACAAACTTACGAGGATTTTGTTAAACTGGAGTAACAACTATAACATCTATTCTGATGAATTTGCTATCACTTATTTTATTCAGACATTCAGACTCCTATCTGCTTTTATCAGAGGATGGGCTTTCTTTTATCTGGAGTAGTCAAAGGCATTTAATAATGGTATTAATCCAGCGTTGGAAATGGACATGTGTGTTAATTCCTCTTTGTTAGCTCTGTATTTGGAATTCTGCATTTCATGGGTTGTCCAATATGAGAAAAATTGTGTGGAATTTAATTTGTATGACCATAACTGTCACTTACAAGTCTTTGGAAATGAGGACAAGGACATCTGGTTGCACTTAAGTGACACCATCCAGTAAGCAGAGCCTTCTTCATTTAAAACTCTAGCAACAGTTTAAATCAAGCAACAGCAAACTAGCTTGAAACAGTAGTGGATGACTTTTTCTTGACTTTTGCATTCCAGAGAGTTCTTCTAAATTTTAAGGAATGAAAGAACACATGAGTAAGTAAATGAGTTGTCCACTGCAATTTTTTTTTCAAAATGAAGATACAGTATTAATGTTTAAAGGGAGCATTTTGTTCCATTTCCTAGTTTTTTGACTAAAGTTGTTTCCCAAAGGGAAATTCTGTAATTTTATTTAAGAATAAGATTCATCTGATAATAGTAAAGTGGAACAACTCAGTCCTCAGGATAAGCAAGTATTGTTCAGATCATACAATTTTATAATAGAAGAATAAAAATCAAGGTGCCTTACTGTCTATCCAGTGTATACTACAAACCCATTTTTTGAGACATTAGCTTTAACTTGAGGGCTGTTACTTTCTATTTTTGTTGGGGTTATTGTTTGTTTTTTAAATTTGATTTTGCTATTAAAATAGGGCCTTGCTATGTAGTTCATGTTGGTCTCAAACTCACTATATAACTCAGGCTGAAAAAATCGAGGTGATCCTCCTGTCTCAGTTTCTCAAGTGCTGGGACTACAGGCACAAGCCATCACCACCAGCTCCCCCTTAGGGCCTATTATCCTATCCTTAGTTCCTACTATGAAGTGCCTCAGTAATGAATGAAGTCTAATTAAATGACCACCGAAGCAAACCTACTCAGTGTGGCTTGCACAGATACCTTACAGTTTACAGATAGAAATTATCAGACTTCAAAGTTGTCATATAGACTTTATACTAAGAATGGCCCATATTTGACTTGAGGAGAATCAGAGTATACCAGTAAATTTTGAAACTTAAAAATATTTTGGGAAACTAATATGTCTGGTCAGTGGGCCTCTCCGTTGTCTTTTTATTTAAAAAATAAATGATCTAGCCAGACATAAAAGTACATGCCTGTAATCCCAGAATTTGGGAGGCTGAGGCAAGAGGACTGTTGTAAGTTTGAGACCAGCTAGGACTACAAAGTGAGCTCAAGGCCAGCCTGAACTGCATAGTGAGACCCTGTCTCAAAAACAAACAAACAAACAAGCAAACAAATAGTCTAATAACCAAGGCACTAAACGACTCACCAGTAAGTCCATTCAACCACTCAAAAGGTTTTTGGGGCTTAAAATTACTTTTTCAAAAACCCTGGCATATAGATAACCTTTTAAATGACTTAGTTTTAGGAAATTCTGAAAAGTCTTTTAATATGTATCTATAAACCAAAGAAACACATTACCTAGAGGTAACCTGTGCTTTTTAAAATTTTTTCCTGACTTCTCTGAGCTGCGTGATATTGAGGGAAAGAAATGCTGGAAAGCATCTCACCCCTCCAGGACCAGTGTGGTGTACTGATTAGTTTACTGTCACTGGGACAAAATATCCAATTCCCACAACTTAACAGGAGAAGTTTATGTTGGCTCATGGTTTTAGTGGGCTCAGCTTATAGTTTAGCTATGGCTTCAAGGTAGAATCAGCATGGTAGAAGGGTAGGGTGGAAGAAACCTGTTTGATACATGGTACCCAGACGAGGAAAGGGAAGGTGAGGGAAGAAGTGGGGACAAGAATACACCCTTACAGGTCACATCCCCAGTAAGCCAACTTTTCAGAACAAGCCCCACCCCCTGACAGCATAGGCAGCTCTGAACTTACCAATGAATTAATTCACTGATAAATACAGAATCCCATGATCTACTCACCTTCTAAGTGTTCCACCTGTGAACATATAAGACTTTTGGGGAACATTTTAGATCTAAATTCTAGTAGATGAAATCAGCAGCAGCAAAAACAAAAACAAAACAAATTTATTTTTTTTTGCATAAGAAACAAAGGCACTTCCAAATAAATAAGGATACTTCTCACAGTGTTCTTAATTTTATAACTAGTAGCATAGTGAGATTCTAAGATCTAGTCTAACCAAGATACACTCACACTGGTGACCCCGTGCAACCTTCTCGAGTGGCCATTTGACAGTTTTTGTCTTTTCTGTCTGTGATTCTAGTTGTATTCAGATATATCAAAAATACAAACAAACAAAAAGGAGGCATAAAATAGTTTCCACTGTTTTGAGTAACATGAAAAGGAAGCAGATTGATTTTAATCATGGATCCTAAAAAGGTTTAGACATTTTGGTTGATCAGAACAAAAAATAAAAGGTATAACTTTAGTGATGGCTATAAATATCTTTACATTCTTCAAAAGAACTGTTGATCAAATTTGTAGCTCATTAATTAATATCTAGATGGCCACAATGTCTGTGCTTGAGTTGCAAAAACGTGTATAATCATACCAAGAATTTGCAATTATGAACATTTTATAAATAACAGTTCTCAACACCTACTCAATTTACAGATTCACTTACTGATATTACCATACTTCTGTCAAGTTTTTCCTAGGAAGAAGAGCTGATTAAAATATGAACCTCACAATTGTGTTCCTGCGAAACATTGATTTTGAATACACTTTTCCTTAAACTGGCCTGACTATAACGTCTGTATTGTACTTTTCATTTCCTATAAAGATATGAAAAGATGGAGCCACTTTGGTAAAAGGGTAGGTCCCTGCTGATTTAAAACGACCCTTGGAAATTTCTTTGGAAACTCTTTTGGAAAATTCTGCTCTAGATTCCAGAGCAGCAATTTACATTTGGGATGCTTTACTCCCCAGGGAATATTTGGCCATGTCTATGGACATTTTTTTGGGGGGGGGGATTTCATAACTGGACTCAACCGGCTTCTTGTAGGTAGAAGCCATGAATGCTGTTAAATATTCTATAATTCACAGGAGAGCTCTCCATAACAGAATTATTGAGGTCAAAATATATATAGTGCCAAGATCAAGAAATCCTAAGTAGAAAACTACAAAATAAGTCTAAGCTATTTTCTGCATGGGAGAACCTCTGAGGTGTGAAAATATCCATAACCTATTAGATTTTTCTTGTGCAGGCCGAATATTTGCAATCAGATTTAATATGGCAATTAGTTTGTAATTACATTTGTAATGAATTCAATGGTTGTTCTCAAGGTTCAGTCACCAGAGTTCCTTCTTGGGACACCATTTAATCTACCAAAGTCTTAGTTTCATATTCAAACTTGCAAAATTTCCTGTATATGCTCTGAGTTTAGCATAATCCCAGTACATAGTAGTGTTCAGTAACCACTTATAAAACAGCACATAGATCAGTGATATAATAAATAAAAGAAGAATGGATACTGTGAAACACTGAATCTCCCTAGTAAGGTTCTTTTGTTTATGCAGTTTCAAAAATACCACATTGTAAATAAATGAGCATTGATTTTAATTATGACAAACATCAAGAATGGCTTGTAATACCTAAAATTTCCAGGTGGGGGAGCTCAGTCACTAATTCAAAGACTGCAAAGACCTTAAAGATTTAACCAGAGAGTACTTAAAAACTTCTTGAGGGGAAATGAAATATTTTGTCTTTTTGATTTGTTTATATAAATTATACATTGAGGATGTACAACAATGCCACTTTGGTTTTATAGTTCTAGAAAAAGTAAAGTTCAGAATGAGCAATTTTTCTTAATTGAACAGCTTCAGCATAGGCAGTGTCTGTCTTATGGTTGTACTACTGGGAAATTTGCACTATCCAACCATTTAATAAGAGCCCAAACATTTAAAAGCAATTTCTTCCCTTTGTTCCTTTGAGTACTAGAGCATGCAAAATTTAGATTTCGGAGTGAAGCAGAGAGAAATTGTGGGATTCTAAGGGGAAAAAAATGCAACCTTCATTCTTCTTAAACTGCTTCACTAAATTTGTCCCGTGTAAGATGGTGTAAATGCGCAAACGTGATGCCTGTCCGTCTCTTTCCTACTGACTTGAGTTTCCAGGGCACTTGCCTAGTTTCTGTCTAGACAGGAGATTTTTCAGTGTTGCCCACCAGATATTTCTGCCTGTCCTATGTTGACCAGGGTTATGATTAGGCTATTTATTCTCCCAAAGCAGAAATGTACAGGTGAATTAACTCAGCTTCTGAGAATTCTGATTCTCCAGCCCTAGTCTCTTTTCTAAAGAAGGTTTAACAGAGCAGAAAGAACATGGGTTTTTTTTTTTTTTTTAATCTTACACTTGCTTCTAGAACCTATTCCCCAACTTAGTATTCAGTCGATACTTAACTTTGTGAATTCTAGATTCTGATTTTTTTAAATAACATCATAATATGCCTGTATACTTATGAAGAAAAAATAATGCACACAACTTTATAATAATATATAATAATAATAATAATAATAATAATAATAATAATAATATAATATTGCACACAATGCCAGAATGGATGGTGCAAGCTGTTTTAAAGCTGTATCAATTGAATACTAGTATTAAATTAAACTAAATTAAAACTGTTAAAAATCATCCTGAATAATTTACAGAGAAACACTCTAGAGGTTAACAAGAGGTGGAGAAGGTAATGGAGTGAGCTCATGTTGAACTGTTGTAAAGGCAGGTGGCCACTAAAGTTAAAGGATGTCGTTTATTGGAAGCCAAGAGAAATTCGTCCCCCTAAAATAGGAGAATAGAGATAAGGATATATTATTTTGCAAAAGTCTCACTTTACTTAGGCGGTGTCTTTATTTGGCAAATTAGGGCTAAGAAGGTACACAAAGACTGTAACAGAACTGTTAATATAGCTGAGAATAAAGCAAGTTACAGAGAAACAAAGTAGAAATTTCAAAATCCACTTAGTAAGTGACAAGAGGAATAGATTCTAGAGTGTATCATGTTTCTTTCCCTAGATATTAGGTAAATTGATCACTAAGTAGACTGTTTCCTAATTTGTAAAGTGAGATAGTTGGTTTATGCAATGATCTAATCTGATCAGTTCTGACATAAAGTGTTTTAATTTATGAGATCTTCTTAGGATTTTCCCTTCTCTGTCAATGCTATTGTTTTAATTATTTATTTAAGAAAAAAGAGGGAAAGTAATATTTCTGTTGTCTTCTTATAATACAAAAACAAACTGAAAGCCCAAAACTTGCTACAGTTGTACATATCCAAGCATTGTAGATTTCTAAACTTGGAAATGGCTGTGTACAAAACACTGTGTTATATGGTTAGGTTTCACCCTATTCTGATTTAGAAATAATATTTCCTTGGTTGGCATTAATATCAACCAAGGATATATCCTGAGTGACTCAGAAAAAGTGTGACTGGGAGATCTTTTCCTTTGTTTCTCGTGGGATCCTCTTCCTGGTTCTGCTCATACCCCTTTAGTGCCCTTTCTCTGTCACCCTGGACAGAACCACCTTAATTTTCTCTTTCAAATAGGGTTATTTAGCTTTTCATCTATGTTTCTTCTGATCTATTCCTTGTGAATGAATTTCATGCTCTGCTACTTTAGGATTGTCTTTTTGACACAAAATCCTTTTCCATTTTTTTTAAACCTCTTTAACATTTCAGTTCTCACTTAAACGCTTTGGCTTTCAAGAGCATTGTCTTTGAAACAGGCTTCAAGTGACTGTTTTGGAAGTCAAATACAGAAGAGTGACACTTTCATTCTCTGTGCTTTCCACCTCTAACAATCTTAATTCCCCACTCTAGCAATCCTAATTCTTCCCAAGGCAATGGACGTCTCTACTGAATAGCTTTACAAAAAAATGAAAAGGTACTGCAGCAGATTTTAAAGCATTTTCTCATAACTGTGCTACAAGGCTATTCACACAGATACACAATTCACTGATTCTGACAGGCACTATTTTTACTTTCCTTTTTATTGCATATATATATACATATGTATATATATATTCAAATTGTACACCACTCTGATTTGATACACATATACATAGTGGAGCGATTACTACATTTAAGCAAATTACTTATCCATCATCTTATATAATTGCCTTGTCAGAAGCTGTGTCTGTAAGAGTACTTAAAATCTACTTTCAGCAAAATTTCAGTAGACAATACTGTAAATTAGATCTCCAAACTTAGTCAACCTGTATACTGTAACTGCAAGTTTTTGCCCTTTGAATTATTTCTCTTCTATCTTAGTTACTTTTTACTTGTCGCTGAGACAAAATACCTGAAGCCCAAGTTGGGAAAGGAAAAGTTTATTTCTTACAGTTTTTGGAGGTTACAGTCCACACTCAGTTGGCTCCAAGGCAGGCAGGCATGGCTGGGCCGCAGTTCATGGTGGCTGCAAATAGCAAGCAGGAACCAGCAAAGAGCAAGACACACCTTCTTCCTGCCATTACATCACATCCTGGCTCCACTCCTAGGTGGGTGTAGCACTAACACCATCAATCCAAGCACTAGACAATGCAAATGCACAAATGCACAATGTAAACTCATAAGGCCTGGGGGCGACAGACATAAACCATGACATCTTCTTTTCTCAGTTTCTGGTAGTGACTGTTTCTATGTATTAACTTCTTTTTGTTCCATATAAAAATGAGATCCTGTTGTATTTTTTTTTTTTTCTGCGTTGGCTTATTTCACCCAGTTCATCCATACCGTCATCCTTCCACCCATTAAACCATTAAAAAAATTTTTTTTGTTAATGAGTTTTCAAATTCCTTGTATATCTTGGATTCTAAACTGTTATCAAATATATGGCTTAAAAATACAATTGTTAATTTTTAAGGCCATACTGTGTGTCAAACATATAAAATGTTCTCTGATGAATGAGATACAGACTTGTGGTAAAGGAGCTATCGTAATACAATTAAAGGATCTTAGGGAAACTGCCCAAATTGTTTTTCTCTCAGAATAGAAATTCTATCCCAAGTAACAATTTTGCTCTAATAGCACAACTGTGGCAATAGAAGAGTATTATTGATGAGTGGAATCTGAAATGAGTAATAGTCATAATTAAGTGATTTGAAATTTCCTTTAACTTAAACCCTCTGGTAAGTCTCAGAAACATAAACAATCAACTAACTGCAGACTTGTTTTATAAATTAATTTTTCACACTTGTCTGTAATTAATGCAATAATATTTATATATTGATTTGTTTTTATTATAAGTATGTATGATATGTATTGTCTTATTTGATCATAATTTTCCATAGAAAGAGTTGTGTTATAGTATTTCTTCCTAGTGTAAACTCATGTGTTCATTTCAAAATAATTTAGCCATTGAATTACTTCTTATGGTGAGAGCAAAATATTTCACTAAAAATTTACACTAGTCCTAGCATATTTGAATTGTTGTTTAAAGAAACTTATCTAATTAATTTCTACTTTTGTTTGAAATCTCATTAGATCCATGTGTTTTATTTGTTTAACTGTTGGTACTGACAAAACATTACAACCTTGAATTTAGATCTAGTCCCAGAATATAATTGCTTATCTTTCCTTATAACTTGATCATTTAACAAATTCAAAATTTTCTTAAGTACCAATAGATGAACAGATACATAGTTTTGTGTATAGGAATAAGAAATATCTGAAGATGTGACTATTAAAATAGTTGAATATTAAACATTTTCTGTTGCATCATCATGACTGAAATTGCAAATTAAATCAGTTCTATGAATGCTGTGCTATTTAATGTCAGATATGAAAATAAAAGTATAAATTCGCTAAGCGATTCATTTATTTATTAAATAAAAATTTGTTGAATCCTAGTAGGGTACAATAGACTGAATGAGACTGTAAGGATATAGTGGGGATTGAACAGCCTCTGGCTTCATGTTACCAATGTAAATTATGAAGGGACAATCAAAAACCCCCATCACTTTTATCCTCAACAAGTGTTTTCTGACTGTATACCATATTTTAGTTATGCTTGATTAAAGAGTTTTTGTAATGTTTGTTTTAGTCATTTGCTTTTTTCCTTTCTAATTCAGTCTTCTAACCACAGACTATTAAGTGATTATCTCTTGATACATATGCTTGACTTATTGAAATTTAAATATGAGCAAGATTATCTCAGGTTTATTTATTGAATAAATATAATATTTCCATTTATATCAGGCACATTAGGAATGTATGGAGTTTAATCGCTATGTAGTTAAAATCTTTTTACTGATACATTTTCCCTGCCTTCTTGAAGTCAGTAATACAAAATAATATATGGCTTCTACCTTCAAGAACCCAAAAGATTTGTGCTGCTGCAAACTCTGGCATATATGGATCACCGTAGTATAATGTCTAAAACTTTTTGGTAAAGATACTTAGCAGGGAGATTGCTGGGCCTAAACTGCATGAATTGTAAGCATATATTAATAATTTTTAAAAAAATTAAAACAAAATTCAAAAGAAATTAGTAGAAATGAATTGTACTACTGGAGGTAGTACAATTTAGCTTAGTAGAAAAATACTTGCCTAGCATGTGTGAAGGCTGGACTTACATCCCTATCACCAAATAAAACCAAGAATTATTTAAAAACCACTATATTATGTATTGAAAGACATTAAATTATAAATGTTTTAAAGTGTGTTTTGTGATTTAATTTTTGATACATTTTTACTTAAAGAACTTCATAATTGTCAAATGATTACAAATTTTCCTAGATTAAATTCTAATTTGGTTGGATAAAAAGTTTTGAATCATACAATTTTTTTGAAATACTTTGAATTTCATTTTAAGATCATGCATATTGGCAAATATTCGATATGCTCTTAAAAATGTGTATTTGTCATAATTTTTTGTGGTATCTACACATTTCAATTAGTTCAGGTTTTCTATGCAAATTGTTAAGATTTTATATGTTTATTGATTTTTTGGTGTGCTTGTTCTGTTATTGAAAAAGTAGTCTCTTACTATGATTGCAAACTTACAACTTTTCAATGTTCATTAATTCTTTTATCATTGTGAATAGTCTTTCTCACTGTTCAACCTCACTGATTAGATCTCCAGTAATTGTTTTTGCCTTAAAATATGTTTCATTTCTTATTAGTCTTATTAGACAAACTGGCTTTTAGCTATAGATGTCTGGTATATCTGTTATATCTTCTTCTACAATACTTCTTAGTTTACTGTACATTTATAGAAATGCTATGATTTTTGCTAACCTTTTTTTTCTTCTAGCTTGAGAACATTTGTGATTGCTGTATATAATAGTCATTGATATAGTCAGGCTTTGATGTTAGTATACTATGTTTCTTTTCAATTTGTGGTACAGCTATGTTTTTTTTTCTTAAACTTCTTGTTTTCTTATGGATTAATTGGATGTTTTAAATTCTACTTTCTTTAGTAACTTACTAATCAGTAATTATTTTATTTATTTGTAGTGGATACATTGAAATATAAATCTTGACTTTTTATAGCCAAATATAGACTAGCACTGTTTTCTTCTCCTAAGCAATGCTGGAAACTTAATTCAATTTAATTGCATTCACTCCCTCATGCTTTCTGTGTTATTAACTATAATTGTATGTTAAGTAACTGGTATACTAAGTTACGTCTCTCTTATGCTGTATTTATAAGTGCAGATGATTAATTAATTTCAAGCACAAATTTTCACATTTATTTTAAAACTTCATTTTGTTGGAACTTTTGTAGTCCTGATTCTACTTAGGTTCTTTACTTTCCCATAGATTATAATTGTACAATAATGATGTCATTTATAACGTTTATATTTAAATTTTTTATAATGTTTAAATTTAAATCTAAGTGTTCTAAACATCTCTCTATTGCATATATTTGAGAAAATACAGATTTCTTTTGGACCAGAAATGTTGTTTTAATTTTAAAGAAAACTGATTTGAAAGAACAAGTTTAAAGATAGAGTCATCAGTTGTCTTAGTTAAAAATGCCTGATACCCAAAATTAAAGGAAGAAAGGCTTTGGCTCACAGTTTGTAAAGGTTCAGTCCATAACTGGCTAGCTCCAAGGAGGGTGGCTTGACTGAGGATCATCACAGAGGAGAACAGTTCATGGCCCCCCACAAGACAGCAAAAGAAACAAGGGAAAAAATCAGGACTCTTTCTGCCCCTTACACTGTGTGTAGGCTATGTCCACTTTGGGCAGTGTAGTATTCACACCCTTAATCTCAGCATGCACACTCTAGATTCAGCCACTCTAAACTCTTCCCCATAACTGCATGAGACTTTGGGAGGACATCTGGACACAAGCCATAGCATCAGTCTAAACATTTTTCCTACATCTACTCATCCATTGTCAAAGCTTGAAATTTGTCAAAGTATTCTGAATCGTAAAGACTTTTTCATAGTTTAATTGTAATGCATGGCTAAGATATTTTTTGTAGAAAATGTATTTGTGGGGAAATAAAATTCAAATTTTTATTCAATGCCTCTTCCAATTTATGTTCACTTTTTTGGGAATTAAAAATAATGCTCTTAAGTGAAGATGTTTATTACTTTATGGTAGGATTTTAGAATCAATTATATATTATTCCTTCAATAACAGTGTGTAGGTAATTTCCCCCAAACTGTGGATGAAAGTAACTTTATTTTCTATTTATTTTTCTCACAAGATAGTAGGCTGGGAATCTCTGCTAGGATTGGTTTGGCAGATCTTTGTGTCTGGGCTGGACTCACTGACCCACCTGGGCATCATATGGCTATTGGCTGAACTCCGGTAGTCTTGGCTGAGATGACTGACACTATTTAGCTCTGCTCCAGTGAGCTAGCTCAAACATGTGTTCTTGCAATCACAGAGAAGTAACAGGGCAAACTAAAACATGCAAATATGTTTTCAAGCTTCTCCTGGTTTCAAATTTGATCATGGACAAGGCTGAGCCAGAGTAAAGGGGGAAGGTAGAGCATCTGCCCAACACAGAACACAGAAGAATCATATGGAATGTTCCTATGGATGGTAGAAAGTCTTGGCCAGTCATCCTCTGTAGTTGCTCCACTGATAAATAGTATATAAGGAAAAAATACCAAAGTTTTGAATTGCAACTATATGTTGGGTAAACTGCAAGAAATTATTGAAGATTTTATTGATTTCATTTCCAAAGTGATCTGTTTTGAAGGGATTATGATTCACTGAATGGTTTGATTGGCCTGATTTAAATTGCTTTTTTAAAAGTTAGAATGATACACTATTCATGCTCATTAATTTTCCTTTGCTCTGAAGATTGTGACATTTGTTTTGAATTACAAACTAGTCTTGATTAGATAAAAGAATGAGCACATGATAATCAGCTCAGTTAATGCATCACATAAATATATTTGGTTCATGTATTTTACTAGGGGCATTGGCAGCTTATGTTTAATTATTTATAGCAAGACTTCATAATATTGTAATAAGTGCCTGACCATATATTTGTAAGGAGGAAGAGCATCTTTCCTTGGCTTTAAATCAAAACCTTCTTCTGAAAGAACTTGTTTTGTGAGAATGTAGTGAAAACTATTGACCTTGCTTTCTACACATTAGGGATGTATAGTAATTAAAAACACTCCAAATTTTCTGTATTTATGCTCCTAGAAAAATGGGAGTTAGTTACATTTCTCCTAGTCTTTGATATTACTGTTCTTTTAGAAGTGCCCATTAAAATACAAGAAGTTTTGTATTGTCTTTTTGTAAAATTATGTGTATGGATATATAAAAAAAGCACTTCAAGTGGATGAATCAAAAATTTTGGAAAGTATGATTCTGAATAATTTTAACTTTTTTAAATGATATTTTTCAAGTCTTGAAACCTTCTGAAGTAAGCCTGTGTTGTTTTATTTCATTCTTTTAAAAACATGTCATTAAAATTTCTGCTCATGTTAATCAGTGATCATTCCAATGTGATCTTGCCTTCCACCACAGGCGTAGTATCACGTGGCATTGACTTTGAAGTTTTAGACCTTGCTCAATTCTTCTACCTAGTTTTTATTTATTTCAAACTTATCCACATTTCTTCTGGATGCTCTGTCTGCTTTACATACATACTTTGTGTCCCAGTAGCAATGAGTTACTCGAGTTTCTCTAAATTTCTTTTTTTGTTTTGCTTCTTCATGGCTTTCCTTAGGCAAATTTCATGTCTAAGCATCACTGTTCTTATCATGGAGAACTTTTATGCTTACTGAGATAATTTTTCTTTTCTGTAGCTCATCAAAACTATAATTAAATACTTGCTTATGTAATTAAAGTTAAAATTAAGTGTGGTAGTTGGTTACTCCATCTAGTTTGTGTATGATAAAAAGGCAGTAGTGGGTCAATATTATTTACTGTTGTATACCGAACTATTGCCCTAGTACTTAGAATACAGTAGTACTTGAAATGTGTGTTCTGAGTAAATAGATTAATGTGGAATGATGGATAGAGAGATGTAGTTAGCTGGTGGACAGATGGACAGGAGGACAGATTCATAAATAATTCCAAATAATAATGAGTGTTAAGAAGAAAATTAGATGAACCTGGGTATGTCATTATCCTATCAAGATCCTGATTTCAACTCTTTTGGATAAACACCTGAAGTGAGTTTGATAGAAGAGTTGGTCATTCTATATTTAGTTTTTTGAGGAATGTACAGTGTTTCCCATAGTGGCCAGTCATTGCAGTATTACTCACAATGTCCAAAACACAAAAATAACTTAAGTAGCAGTTGGATGAATGGATAAAGAAAATGTGGTCCTATGTGTGCAGTGGAATATATTCAATCTTAAAAAAGGACATCTTGTCATACGTGATGACATGAATGGACTTTGAGGACATTACGTTGATTAAAATAAGTGAGTCAGAAAAAGACAAATATTGCATGGTTCCAAGAATATGTAAGGTATAGGAAATTAGTCAAGCTCTTGAAGTGGGAAGGAGAATGTGATTGCCAGAGATTGGGGAACAGGGGTAGGAAAAGCAGGAATGAAAAATTACTGTCTGTGTAGGAAGTTTCGGTCATGCAAGATGAAAAAATTGTAGAGACCTGTTATACAATAGTGTTCATATGGGGATTCATTAAAAAATATTGTGTATTTAAATAAAAGGATCATATAGTAGCGAGCACTTTGCACCTCAGAATACTCCCCTTCCCTTTGAACACTCATCTCATCATTCCTCATGCCTTCTGAAGCAATCATGTAAGGACTCCTCAGTGTTCGTAGTTGCACCGAGGAAGCTCCCTAAATCCCCTGAATAAATTCAAAGTGTTTACCTTTCATGGTCATTTTGACTTTGGAGAAGAACCAGAAGTCACATATCCAGAAAATAAAGTGGATGAGGCAGTGTAATGTTTTTATTAACCTGCCTTTCTTTGGGATGGCACTTGACAGCAACATTAATTGCATTTTTTAAAAAATCATGTCTTATAAAGATACTCACGAAAAAAAGATTTCAGGAACTGCTTTAGAAATGGGCAAACATGATGGAGTGAGTTTGAGGGAGTATTTTGAGGGGAACTCATGGCATTGGATCATTTTGTGTAATAAAAATTTTAGTGCAAACATTCATTGTATTTTCCAATCACCTCTTCTGTAGTGAACAATAATGCTTCACTGTACTGTTGAAAATTTGTTAAGAGAGTAGGTTTCTTGTGATTGCTCTTTGCATTCACAAACAATGGAGTGAACTGAAAGTGACTAGTTGGATTGAGTATGAATGATGGGCAGGCAAAAGTTTTTTGTTTTTTGTTTTTTTTTTAAAAAGACACCTGAATGGGAGGACCCAGCTAAGAATAGGTCAGATGTTCAAACTAAAGAAGACCTATAGCAATATGACAGGAGTAACAGAAATGCATGTTTAATTGTTCTTATTAAATAACAGGAAACATTAACTTTAACACTGTGTTTAGGGAATCGCATATTTCCAAAACAGTATTTCACCATATAATAAAATTGTCACATTGTCAGTGGTATATTTTATATTATATTTCATGAAAACTCATTCAAATCTAGAGATTTTTGGATACTTACAGCACATTTCTACCTAGAGTAAAAACGTTTAAGTATTTATTAATCACGTGGGTATTGGCTGTTATACTGGGCAGCCCAAAATAGAAAAGGCAGCAGGAGAAACAGTGAGACAAACTTAGAGTGCTGAGAGAAGGCAATGGTCAGGAGTCAGCTGGACAGGAGGGAGAGGTCGTCATGAATTTGGAGAGACAGAGGCAACTCTTCTCTTCCACTTAGCACACAACAAAACATATTGTGCACAGAGCACTGCTAAATTTTCTCCCCAAGGTCATCTTGGGGAGTTATCTTTATCTCAAAGTGTTTCCTACTTTAGAAAATAAAGCAGGTGACACTGATATTTGATAAACAAATGCAGAGAAGAAATGAATACGGGGGGTAGGGCTTGTTAAGCAGAAAGAATTTTTTTATTTGCATTTCTCCACTTAAAAGCCTTTAAACCTTAGACTCTGCTACACACCTAGGTTTCCTTCAGCACATCTATTCATGCCAGGTTTTGCAGACTCTTTCCACATGTATCATCCTTGTTAGCAAAATAATTGCGAGTTTGAAGTAAACATTTATTGAACAGCCTTGAGTAATTATCCTGTGAGGTATGTTTCTGAATTATCATCTGTGTTGAAGCAATGTTTTATGAAATAATTGGCAGTTGGTATAATGCCTCACTGAAACAACTGCTTGTTTAGTGCAATATTTTCACCCAAATTGTTTATGTTGTACAGTTTTTATTTGTCCAGAATCTTCTTTAGTGCAATATTTCTTTAAATGTTTTCTCTTCTGCATAATGGGAAGATGAGCTGTTGTAACTTTTAATTACTGTATGCAGCTGCACACTTTATATTTGTAAGCACATGAGTTGACCTTAATTTTTTGGCATAACTATAGCTTGAGGCAAGCAACGATGGGTTTGATGTTAATACAGCTTTTGTGTTGTTAATTAAATGTCCATTTCTGTTTTAGTTTTATGAACATTAAAAATATAGAAGCAAAGTCTATTTCTTTCTCTTGGGCTGCAGTCTAAATATTCTGGAAACCCAGAGCTTAGGATGTGAGATCAATATTTATGAAGGAAACTAGGACAGTATGGGACAGGACAGAAAGAAGGATATGAACTGGGACAGACCAGTAATGGTTTGGTTAACTTGTGGGGAGGCTCACGGGAACGTGTTGACTGTCAGTCCTCTTCCACTTCAAGTGAAATGGTGGGTCCTCACACCGCCACCCCACTTACTTGCTAGATGGCAGGCTGCTCTCAGAAAGGCGTGACCTTGGGCCAGGAGGTGCAGCTGTTCTGATCTTGCAGAGACAGCTGGAGCCTGCTGCTGTCTGTGTTCACCGCAGCAGCTGGTCCCTCTGGCTCTTTCCTTACAGTTGATCTGGATGGTGCAGCTCTGTGTGTAGCATGTGCTGTTAAATCAGCACTGGTGCCCTGGCATCCAACTTTCTCTTTAGTTAAGATATTGCAGACTTGCATTTAATTTAGCTCAAAGAGTAATGCCTTACTTTACTTTTATGCTTGTACACATTCATATAACATTGCAATAACATTTTATACGGGTTAATAGGCAGTCAATGAGAATTTCTTTTGAAAGAGCTTTTTGTGTTATTTAAGTGTAAGCAACTCTGATTTATTTTTATGCCAAAGTGATACATAAGCTTGGTTTAAAAAAATTACAAAAATACATAAAGCAAAACACAAATATTCCTTTAATCAATTCCTGCTTGGTGGAAGAACTAGTAAGAGTTTGGCCTATTATTCTTCTTGAGGCTTTTATTTAAATATGCATATATAAGGTTACATATAGCTATACATTTTAATTTCAAAAAAAAGTTACTGTACTTATTCTTTCACTGTTTATTTTGAAAACCAAAATGTCTCCTTGAAATGTTACACATGCACCTACCTAATTTTTAACTTTTTAATACATAGTAGATGTTGATTTTTCAATATTTTATTATTATTTGCAAAGTGGCAAAATACACTCTTTACAAATTTTTAAATAAACGTAAAACTATTGACCGCTTACTCAACATTATTTACAGTAAAGTAAGCAATATACTGTAGGATAACTTTCTAACTACTATAAAGTTGTGTTCCTGGTTTCTGCCGAAAATATTAACCTGAATAATGAAAAGATTGGGCCTACATGTAAGGAGCGAGTTGGGGTCAAGATAAAAATATAGGTCAATAATTTAGATTAAAAGTTTGCTCACTCAATTATTCTAGCAGATCATAAATTGTGAACATGTTTAGCCACTCAGTAAGTTATCATGAGCCAAGTCTTCAGACATCCACAGATCCTAACTTTTGATTGCAGATTTCAACTTGTTGCAAAGCAACAGGTCATGAGGAATAGTTAATATTCACTTAACCAGTCTTCCTTAGCTAATTCAAAGAAAGGTTTTGATTTGTTATCTTATTTGGGTGGGGAATTTGTTGGTGGAGATAAAAATTTTTCTTTTCAGGAATATTATAAGTAAACTGCTGCATTTTTGTGATTAAAAATATAGATATGGATTCTGATATGGTTGCTTTGAAAACATCCACTTTACAAATGTTTTTGTACAAGTGCCAAGGTATTACTATAAGATTGTTTTCTAGAGATGCATTTTTGGAGACTGAAGGATACACTTAAAATATTGTGAAAGTTATCACTGTGTTGTCTTTCAAAATATTTGCAGTAATTTCGATGACTATCAACAATCCATGAAGCAGTTTCCCAACATTATTGCTTTCTTTAGATTTGTCTGATTTTCAATCTTTTCTCCAACTAAAATATTTTTAAAAATTGTGTTCTATGTCTTTTGTACTCATTTTAATGGTCTTGTCTTTCTCCTCATAATGTGAACTAATTCTCAGTAATGTAAAAATATCAGTATTATTGTGCATAACTATCTATTGGAGTTGAATTGAACTTCAGAGTAACTTGGATCAGTTAGGAGTTTTTATTTTCAACAAGCAACAGAAATATACTCTGTTAAGAGTAAAAGAAACTATTTGGAAGAATGTTGAGTAGTGCACAGAAGATGGATGGCATCTGCGGTTTTGAAAAGCCTAGTTCAAGGGATGGAGTTTTGCTCCCTCAAAAATCACAGAAACTCATACCTAGAGCCTCAGAGTGTGACTTTACTTGGAAATAGTATAATTGTGGAATAATTAGTTCAATTAACCAGAAGCCATCCTGGAATATGACAGGTGTCCTTATAAAAGACTGCCACTTAAAGGGACACACACAGGAAAAAACACTGCATGGCATTAAAGCAGAGGCTGAGCTGTTGCATGCATGCACCAAGGAAAGTCAAGTTTTGCTAGCAACCGCCAGGAGTGAGAAGAGAACCCCACAGAGGTTCTGTAGAAGTACCTTGAACTTGACCTTGAATTTCCAGAACCATGAGATCATGCTTTTATTTTTTTGAATTTAAGCCGCCGAGTTTGTGATGTTTTTGTTATGAAAGTTCTAGCAACCTAATATAGCTAGGTTTCATAATGACTTCCAAAGTCAGGAGAGCCAGGAGTATTTATTTGACAGTCTCCTCCTATAATTGTTAAGGTAACAAATAGATCTCAGGTTTTTGTTACTTATTTTCTCTTGTCCTTTAAAGGTGTTTTTCTAGATTCAGATTTCCTGGAAATGCAGTTCATGAGCTTAGCTTGGATCCAACCAGTTCAAAAAAAGTATAAAACTCTGATATACAATCCTATCAAAACTGTACCATGTAATAGAGGAAATTCTCTTAATAAGTTTGGTTTATTGCAGAAGAAGCTAATTGAGTAAGATACTGGGAGAATGTGTGGGGGTGGAGAGTAGAAAGAAATACAGGTATTTGCTTCATTAAAGTAGTTAATACATATTAACTACTTTATATATTAATTGATATATAAAGTAGTAGTAATTAATATTTAATTAATTAACCACTTTATAATTAATATATTAATTGCTTCATTAAAGTAGTTTAAATATATATTTCAAACATGGAAGAGCCATATAGTAACATATTGATGTGGCTTATTTATCTCCAGGAAAAATTCAGTACTTGGGAATGCTTAATGAAATGAAAATGATGAGGATGGTGATAGTCATGGATTATGTCAGTGGCCCCCAAGCCTCACACAATTATGGATGTGATCAAATTTAGCATATATGATTGGTTCGTTGTCTAGTGCTTGGATTGGTGGTGTGAGTGCTACACCTGCTTAAGGGCGGAGCCAAGAAATGATGTAATGGTGGGAAGAGGGTGTGTCTTTCTCTTTGTTTTTGCTTTTGCTGTTTGCAGCAGCTATAAAGGACTTCCTTGCCATGTCATGCTGCCTTGGAGCCAACTGAGTATGGATTGAAACCCCCAAGAACTGTAGGAAATAAACCTTTTTTCCCCTAATTTTGGGCTTCAGGTATTTTGTCTCAACAACCAGTAAAAAGTAACCAAGACAGTGATGATGATGATTATGTTGTTGTTGATGATGATGGATAAAATAGGAATTATTGAGTTGTTTCTGTGTGTCAGATTTCTTTAATAGTACTGGGTATGGAACCTAGGGCTCCTGCACTAAGCTATACTGAGCTAAGCAGACTATAATTCTTTTTTTTTCAAATTGATAAAGATTCTTGCTAAGTCACTAAATTGCCTAAGCTAAGCTTGAATATGAAATCCTCTTGCCTCAGCTTTATAGAGTGCTGAGATTACAGCTGTGGGCCATTTCACACACCTTAAATTATTATTTTAGGTGCTTTCCATGAATTAATATACTTCACCTTCTGAATCTTATGAAATAGGTTTTATTATTAGCTTCACTTACAGTTGAAAAAATGAGTTGCATGGAGAGATATTAATTTTTTGTCCCCAAAATGCAATTAATGAATTGCAGAACTGAGCTTCCAATTCAAGAATTCTGCTTTTAAAATCCATGTTGTATATGTCCTATTTGCTGAATAAGCAGAGAATCTGGCTGATTCAGGATTTAACAAGGAATATTTTATCCCAGTTATCACCTAAAATATATCCCTAGTGCTTTGGGGCTTCTTGTAATTGAATTGTTTAGTGACACATTGTCCTATAATTGTACAATTAGGCCAATTCTTCCAAGAATCAGTAACTTTTTTTTTCTTATTGACACTTGCTTGCTTTTGTTAGTTGAAGTTGAGTGGTTTATTGGATTGTAATTTTAGAATGGTAAAACACCTCCTCTTTTGAAGTATGAAAGAGATGGTATAACTTTCACTCCATAGCTAACTGGTTATTTCTAGGTACCTAAAATATTGTGACAAATCAATAAAGACTTTGTTACAAACCTCCAAAGCAGGATTACTCCCTATTCTTTATATTTTCCAAGACTCTTTACTTCTCTGAAAACTGATGCTGTTTTCCTACAATGCAGCTTAACAGTTTATGCTCCATTTATTTAGATGTCTTGTTAGATCATGCATGATAATAATTTTAAAGTGTTTTGTAAGATGTGAACATTTTAACGCGTCAATCTAAAAATATTAGCAACTTCTCTTATCATATATGATTGGTAATTTTATTTATTCATTCAGTCAACCAGTCATTTCATTTTTACTGTCTACCAACCAGGTCCACAGAAAAAGTGCAATGAGAAATAGTACTTGCTCATGCTATCCAGGATCATAAACCCTGGAAAGCCAGGATACTGTGATGAATGCATGAATGGGCTAAAATTGGACTATCTCAATAGAAGGCATACTGACATTTGAGACAGATCATTCTTGTTCAGAGAGCTGCACTGGGCACTGAAGGATATTTAGCATTGTTTCTGAGCTCTACCCATTAGATGCTAGTATCATCTTTTGTCATATTGTGACAACTAAATGGCCTTACCAAATGACATTATCAAATATCCTATGCGAGGAGTAAAATTGTACCCAGTGCAGAACCAATGGATTAGCAAGCTTCCAGAAAGACACTATATATAAATTTAGACCTGTGATAGTTGAGATGGATTGTGTCACCTTGATTGACTTGGCAGTCACCAAAGTGACCGATGGAGCACAGTTCTGGGTGTACCTTGATAAGTCATGGAGGCATGATTTTGGGCATTATATCTGATCCTTTCCTTTTTTCTTTCTGGAACTCTGCTTTGTGCTGCCATGAACTAAGCAGCTTTGCTCTGCCATAACTGTCTGCCATGATACTCTTGCCTTGAGGTTAGTAGACCGATGAGCCAAAATTCATTTGTATGTGTGTGGGGTATGGAGTTCCAGTGACAGGAAAACTAGTATTGACCTGCTTGATGAATAGCAATTGGTCAGTTAAAGGCAACAGGAAAGAGAAGAACATATGCATGAATCTCAGAAATTCAAAATATTAGGAATTATCTCGATTTTCTTTTGTGTCTGAGAGCTAGTGATTCTGATCGACCTTTAAAATGTTCTGTTGTGTTTCAATATTTGCCTAGCACTTTAGTACTAAATAGGAACAATCTTTGTTTTTCTCAAAGGGAAATGGAATCATGTGAGCTTGAGAAAAAAATTTTGCTTAAATGGTTATGCTTTGACCTGTGCTGTTTTGTTGTTATGCCCTCTTTTATCTCAATCTCCTTTTTTTTTTAAAATTATTTACTTTTTTATTTTTATCTTTTTAATTAAGGGAAAAATAAAAAATAGTAGGATACATTAGAGTAACCCACTTTGATTTCCTATTAACTTGATTTGAAACCCTGTAGTGCCCAAACCATCTTGTTTTGACTGATTTTCCTTTATTCTGCTTTGCTTGATAATACCAAGTTCGAAAGTATAGGCAACAACTGTGAAGACAGTAAGATTCATTATGTCACCTCTTCTGGTTGACTATATCTTCTTTTAAAGTCCTGTAATGTCTCCAATGTTTTGGTTTTATTCTTTACTGTTTTGTTCAATTTTATTATAACTGATGATATAGGCAATTCTTTTTAAGATAGCAAGAGGCATATGGTAACCATTGTTGATCACCTAGTATTTTGTTTTTACATTATCTATTATGTCTATCCTTTTGATTTGACTGACTCTGTTCTGTTATGTCACATTTTGTTTTACTCTCTTCAAAAAAAAAAGTAACAAGAACTGTGGGAGTGATAAAACCCAAAATGCGTAATTGTCATTGTACAAAAGAGAGGAAAAGAAAGTGCTCTAAAGGATATAACTGCATGTATATTTAAGTGTATAAGATAGATAACCATATTACTGAGTTTTGTTGGATCATTGAACAAAACTGTTTGCAGTCTCACTGTTTGAAAGTCCACTTTATATGCTTTAATTTTGTAACTTGAACAACTATTTCTAAGATAACAATATGTAATCTATTAACTAGTGATTCCCTACTGTTTATTCTTTCTTGAAATTCTGTATAACTTGTACCCTTTTTGTGTTGTTTTTTATTTTTCTCCTTAAATAAAATTTAAAAAAAAGAAAGTGAAAATTTTCAAATATTGTTTTTTTTTACTTAATATATTTACAATAGAAAACATTAAAGACCCAAGGGAATGATATAAATATGGCTGATTAGTAATGATTCCTCAATGGATAAAACAATGGGAGCTTCCTTACAATTCAGAACAAGAGATGACTGTGTGCAGCCTGAAGAGAGAAGAGTGATAATTTTAAAGCTTAAGAAGTATTATAAGGTCCAGGGATATAGCTCAATAGAACAGGGCCTACCTGGCAAGTGTGAGATCCAAGTTCGATTTATGGTACCCCCCCCCTCGCAAAGGAAGAAGAATTATTATGAGATAATTTATAAGAGAAAAATTGCCTCTCATTCCAATATAAGACAGTAGAAAATTCCCTTAAAAATCCTATGAATTGGAGGTTGTTTATAATTATCTATGTTATTTTCATGAAGTAAAAATAGGTGCAGATTTCTGGAATTAGAGTATATGACAACACTAATCTGAAACTGAACATGGATGCAGAGTATTAAAGCCTGCAGAGATTCTAGAGATTACAATGTCAAAATCATGAGAGATCATATATTTGTGTAAGTTCAAATAACTACTCATTGACCATGTCTGGATTTCACTTCTTGACTTCTTGTCAACTTCCACCATGCGTTTCCACTATGTCTGTTTCATCTTTCAGGAGCCTATGTTTTACTCTAATCAATGAAGTGTTTCTTTTGTGTGAGAACAACCAAATCACGGGCAGGGTGCTTAAAGCACACATCTTGTTTTGGGTTTCTTAAACATATCCAGTATACTAACTCTTTGTTTTTTTAAGGCTGATATTTCCTACTTATTTAGAGGTTTGTTTATTTGTTTATTCTTTTATTTATTTATCATCTTATATTTATTTATCCTGAGATGTCAAATTTTCTTCACTGGTACTTTAAAGGTATCTGAGTTATAAATTTAGCACGTCAAATATATCTTTTTCCTTAACTACTGATGATCATTCCTTTTTAATTTTCAGGCTTGGAGGAAACTAACTACAGGGTCTAAATGTCACATTTATTTTGATTTCATCTATCTAGTTTTTCTTGACTGTGCCCATGTGTCTAAATGATGTAATAATTCTTAAAATCTTGAACTCCTGGGTTAAAAATGCTTTAAGGGTTTCCTTTTCCTTCCTCATATACATTTACAAAAGAGGATAAGGAACTTATGGTAGATTGATGATTGGTGGTCAACTTATAACATCTAGTTGAACTGAATCAGCATGGTGCTGAGTGTGGAGGGTCTACCTGAGAATTGTTGCCAACAACATAGAAAGGTGACCTAGAGAGTAATAAGTGGTGTTGTTCTTTCTTCCATTGCTGTGGGTGCTCCTGTAGGAGAGTTTGTTGAGCTTCTTTCCTGATGTTTTCATTGTTAGAGTCTCAGGACCTTTTTGCTGAGAATGGCTGTGGTTCACTTTGAGGGAGCTCTGATGCTCACTTTTAGCATTGCTTCCTGGCTCCAGAGAGGAAGATGGTGTGCTTCCCAAACTCCTAGGGAAGCTTGTCACTCACACTAGTTTCCTGAAGAACACTTCTGTTCTCACCATCGGAGCTTGGGACCTGTTGACTGAAGATGGCAATAGTACTTTCCAGGAGAGCATTGGTCCTTACTTTGAGCATCACTTCCTAGCTCCAGTGCAGATCTGTTGGCCCACTGGCACAGATCCTTTATCCCACTGCTTTCTAGTTTCCACTGCTGGCCTTTGGCCCTTCCCAGCCAGATCCATGAAAGAGATTTGCATGAGACATTGTCATGGGCTCTAGGTTGTCAACTGGCCTCATGCAGGATATTGCCCTGGGATCCAGGCCCTCAGCTGGATTCTATGGGTCTTTAGAGTGTGAGCAGATTTCCTGAATATTTTTATATTTGATTCTTTAGGTGAATATTATAAAAATAATTATATAAGTTATGTGTCCTATATTAAGTTATTTTCTGTGCAATCCCTGACTACAACAAAACTCATACCTTCTTGTGTCAATTATTTTAAGTTTATTATGCTGTATCTGGGGTGTACTTCCTCTATATTATGGCTTGTGTTTAGATGTTCCCCTAAAGCCTCATGTGTTCATAGATGGGGCTTTCTCAGAGGTGACTGGTTGTAGACTGTGCTGCTGGAATTGATTTATAGTGCAATTGTAGCATCAAGGGCACTAGGAGTAAGGGTATGAGTGCTACTTCTCTAAGTATCCTGGATAAGATATAAGGGATAGAAAGAAATATGGTTGTTGCCATTGTTGGTTTGCTACCTTCTGGCCTCAGTGAACTGTTTCTCCTCTTCAATGCTTGTCTGTCATGATACCCTGCCTTGCAGCCAGCTGACTATGGAATAAAACTTCAACAAACTGTAAGTCAAATAAATGTTCCTCTCTTAACTTTGAGTGTTTGGTATTTTGTCTCAACAAGAAAAATACTATAGATAAACACTCTCTCTTCAAATCTCTCATTTTATTTCTACTCCTAGAATAGTAAATAGAATTTTTCTAATTCCTTTTTCAATGTGATAACTTATAGGTAAGCTTATTAATGAAAGTTGTATAGCCAAGAAGGAACACTTAGTTTTCCCATTTTTGTTTCATTGCTAAGAATTTAATAGGTTAACAGAAATAAGGTTTTGAAAATATTAAACTCCTGTATTTTTATTCCTTATTTTTCCTGCCTACAGTTAATTATAAGTTAATTATTGCTGCAACAATATTCCAATAAATGTATAATAATTATGGACTTTGACCACTTAGGAATGAAAGTCTGGGTTATTTCACACACAAAGCAACCTAGAGCAATACAAGTCTTCATGAGATGAAAAGAATCTCAAGTGAATGATTGAGGAAGAGCATGCCAAATATTAGTTAAGGGCCTCCAAATTAATTACAGTGATGGAGGCTGTAGGTCATATCCCTAACCCTACTCTGTCAGCTTTTCTCTAAAAATTATGTTCAGCCATACTTTGAAGAAAACACAACAGGATATTAAGCTATGAGTCTACTGAATGCTACATGGAGTGGACTATAACAGTTGGTCTCAGTTCTCCACTTTCATCTCCCAGATATCGTTTCCATTTTTGGGGGAGCCTCTGGATTTCTGTTGATGTACTTTTCCCTCCAACGGTTCATACCTGCAATACTTCCCTGAAGGAGTGATTATGAGCAACAGAAGCGTCTTGCGCTCCATGCTTAGAACAGAGCTGTTATTCAATAAATGTTAGCTATTATTACTGTCTTTCTTAAGTAGTTTTGGAAAATTTGTCACAAAGAAAATAATGGTAAACCTGGTGTTTCTGTTTTATCTTCATATATATATATATATATATATATATATATATACACACACATATATATATATATATATATATATCTTTATATATCTATATCTGTGTCTGTATCTATATCTATATTAGTGTTCCTTAATCAGAAGAGGCCAGACCAGTAGAGAATACTAAAATAGGAGTTAGAAGTTTGGATCCTAACATTGTCCTCCAAACCATGGGCACCATATTCCATCTCTACAAAATAAAAGGTAGCCTAAAAGATTTTATGTCTCAGCTGAATTATCACTTCCTTCAAGACCTCTATCTATGTTGTCACCATGAAGTTATCTACTTCTGAATTGTACTTGTGCCCTTTATTTTTCCTACCCTTACCTCTAATTTCCTTTTTTACCATGGTCTCTCTCAGTTTTGGCAGGAGAATGGATCACATCTGTTTCTTTTGTCTCCTCCAGTGCACAGCACGATACCTGCCTTATTTTAGTTATTCAGTCCATTTTATAAAAAGAGTAAATGAAAAAGCAAGGTTAAGATCTAAAATTGTTCTGCTTATCTATTAATGCAAAACAAAACACTCCAAACTTAGTGGGGAAGCCAACTCTGTTACCCTCATATTCCATGCATTAGGAATTTGGATAGGGCTCAGTGCTGACAGGTGATTTTTTTCTCATGAAGCTGAGGAGACTCAAAACTAGGATGTGGAATCTCCCAGAGACAATTTCACTCGCATGTCTACCAGGCAATGTGGGCTGCCACCTGAGAAAGCTCCATTATTAGTCAAACCATCTCAAGCGGTCTCTCTCTGAAGCCTCTCCAGGCATTATCTCATATAGGTGGTTTAGAGTTTGGAGTGCTTTGGAGCATAACAGCTGCTTTCTGAGTGAGAGTCATAAGAAAGGACTATCAAAAGGAAGGGTTTTCATCATATATCCTCAAAAGTCACATAGTGTCAACTGTTAAGCCTTTGTAAAATTTTACTTAAGTTTAAGAGAAGATGAAATGGAACTTGCCATTAGAAGGGGAGTCAAGGTTACACTGTAGAAAGAGACAGGGAGATGGGTGATTCAGTTGGAGCCATCTGTGGACAACACTGTCTTCTGCAGGCGCACAGGTAATTTGATGCAGTTGTCCCAGATTCCAAAATGGCTTACTTAGAGTCCTTGTTTCTGCACCGGCATCTTTGTGATCCTTAAACCCCAAAATACAATGAATAGATAAATTAAAAAGAAAATTTTCACATTAAGTACATGTTATCATTAATCTCCCTTTAAATACTCCCCTAACTTCAAGGTACTTGTCTCAGTGTTCTTGCCACTTTCTGAAATGGTTCTGAAAGTTTTCTTTGGTTGTGCTGTCCTGGCTGCCTCCATATCCTGAATTAATGTAAGATTTACCTTTCGTAGTTATTTTGACTGTAGGGGAAGAGCCAGAAGTCACGCAGCACCAGATTTGATGAATAAGGTGGCCAAGGACACACCATAATGATTCTGTAAGCCTGCCTTTTCCTAAAATGCCACTTAGCAGCAGTGTTCACTGTATCTTCTTTTTATCATTTTAAATCACCTTTTGGGAAGGTACTCATGAAAATGGACTTCCAGAAGTGCTTTACAAAGTGGTAAGGATGATGGAGAGAGTGGATATGATGGGAGAGAGTAT